TTAAAAAATAAAAGTAAAGGAAGGTGGGGAATTAAAAAAAAGAAGGAAATGGGAAGTGAAAATTTCTTCTTTTTTTTTTTAACAAAATCTGAAAAAAAAAATCAAAAAGGTTGTCTATAAATAGAAGAGAAAATGTGAGAAAAAAGAGAGAAGAAAGGGGGAGGAAAGAGAGGAGGGAATTGAAAAAAAAAATCTTTTTTTCCTTCATCTTTTTTTCGAAAATGCCCCAAATTCAAGCCTAAAAACATCCTTGAAGTACCCTCATAAATGTAGCAAGGTTCCGACTTTGTCTCTCCATTTCCGTCAAGTTCGAGGTCGAGCTAAAGCTCCGGTCGATTTTGGTTCATAGTCTATCCGTTTTTGCTTGTTAAAAGGAAAGCTTTGAAGGTCCGTTACTTCACTTTCTTTGTTAAATATGTAACTTTGTTTAATTTTTTTTTCTTGAATTTAAAGATCATAAGTTTGTATTCAAATGCTTGATATCATGTCTATGGCTTTAATTTGAGTTGATATAATCACCTATTTGTTAGAGTAAATTTTGACATTTATCTTAGTTGATCTTAATTGGACCTCTTGTTAAGTGTACAAATGAATATAATTTCTTGTCTATGTAAGTTCACCTTGTTAGAATTTTAGATGAGCTTTCACATTTATTTTGTCAATGTTCTTTATCATGAATTAAATCTAGGTGAGTAAAACTAATTATTGGAGTTTAATTACTGGGTCATGTTATCATATTCTACTTAGTTTTAATTGATTTTCTATTATCTTATAACAAATGAACTAGTTTTAAACTGAAAAATTGGTCTGCAATGGGCCGTAGAGAATAACTTGGTTTTCAAAGTGATTTTCATTAATCTCACTTTATTGATTGGGCTGTAGCGCATTTTCAAGAATTGAAAAGCATTTGAGCTAAATAAGAATAATTCTAGTGGCCCGTCATTAATAAGATCTTGGCTAGCCATCCATTGTAAATTAATAGATAAATGTCTCACAACTTCAAAGATAGAGTAGTAAGTTGTAAACCCGTTTTTTAATGTGAATAATTTGTCAATACTCCAACTAGTTAAAATATTTTTTGACTTCCAAATAATTCTATATCCATGAATCATGGCCTTCACAATAATCTCAAATTAGATTAGAAAAAATAAATGGAATACCCTGAATACGCCACTATGCTTTAAGCGCGTGTTAACCAATCAATTGTCGTGATTATGTACACGTTCGCGTGACATAGTTATGATTTCCCAAATTAAAGGCAAAGTATGCATTCATGTGACTTTGAAAAAATAATCTTAAAAATAATAAAGTATTATTAATTGTGTACACGTACGCATGACATAATTCTTGACATACCAAACAAAACGAATACATGTACGTGTGATTCATTTTTAGATAATTCCATAATTACTAATAATCAAGCAATTAAAAGCGGTTTAAGGTAAAAGTGCATAAATTTCCCTAGAACATAAAATATCCAGAATTAGTTAAGCCAAATATAATTATTAAAGTGACCACGATAGAACTACGGAACTCGAGAGTGCCACACACATTCTCCCGGGTTAACAGAATTCCTTACCCGGTCTTCTGTGTTTCCCAGACTTAAACAGAATCAATTTTCTTGAATTGGGATTTTAAAATAATGGTGACTTGAGACACCGTAAACAAATATTTCAAGTGGTGACTCTTTAAATTAAATAAAATAATCTTATTTCAATAATGTCACTTAAAGTGAAAAACTCTTTTCCCCGTAAAAAGGAGGTATGACAACTATTGCACATGTTCTGGCCTTGCCCAATTACTCCTTATCATTTGTTGTTGAGACTGATGCTAGTGGATCTAGTATTCGTGTTGTCCTTATGCAAAACAATCATCCTATAACCTTTATTAGTAAAGGGTTGGCTCCCAGGCATGCTGCATTGTCTGTATATGAAAGAGAGCTTCTTGAATTGGTCTTTGTTGTGACCAAATGGTCATATTATCTTCTAGCCAACACTTTGTTGTCAGAACTGACCAGAAAGCACTCAAATATCTTTTAGAATAAAAGCTCCATACTGATTCTCAGATTAGGTGGTTGGCTAAACTCGTGCCTTTTGATTTTGAAGTCCAATATAAAATGGGAAGGGAGAATGTAATTGCAGATTCCCTATCCAGAGTTTAGGGAGCATCACTGATGGCCATGCTCCTTTCTTCAGTTCAAGCTGACTTATGAAAAAACATTCAAGTTAGTTGGCATTCAGATCCTAAATTGAAGGCCTTGATTACTTCATCACAATAGAAGCCTTAGAAACACTTCACTTGGGTGAATGATCAGCTTAGAAGGAAAGGCAAACTGCTAGGCATGCAACAATGCTGCTTTGAGACAACAAATACTCACACTTTAACATTCCACTTCTTCTTGGGGGTCATTCTACTATTGATGCTACTATAAGGAAGGTTCTTACTTATTTCTATTGGAAGGGGATAAGAACTGACATTATGACCTTTGTTCACAAGTGTTCTGTGTGCCAAAGAAACAAGTATGGCACTGGTGCATCCCCTGGCCTTCTCCAACCTTTGCCTATTCCTGCTCTTCCTTGGACAAACATCACAATGGATTTCATAGAAGGCTTGCCTAAGTCTCAAGGCAAAGCAGTTATATGGGTCATTGTTGATCGACCCACCAAACTTGCACACTTTATTATTTTGGCTCAACCTTATACTGTTCAGTCCCTTGTCCCTATTTTCTTGGATAATATCTTCAAACTTCATAGTTTTCCTGCTTCCATTACAAGTGACAAAAGACCCCATCTTCATTAGCTTCTTATGGAGAGAATTTCTTACTGCTCAAGGAGTTACCTTGAACACCTTCACTGCTTATCATCCTCAAACTTATGGTCAGACAGAGGTGCTTAATAGTTGTTTAGAAATTTACCTCCGCTGCTTCTGCACTGACTCACCTTCTGACTGGTCTTTCTTCCTTGCCTTAGCTGAATGGTGGTATAATACCAGCCCACATTCTGCTATTAAAACTTCACCTTTTGAGCTTCTTTATGGTTATCCACCACCACTACATTTGCCTTACTTACCAGGGGATTCAGAGGTCAAGTCTATTGAGGACATTTCTCTGCTTCGTGAGTTCAAGCTCCAACTAGCTAAGTTTCATCTCACTCGAGCACAACAGAGAATGCAAGCTCAAGCTAATGCCTACAGGTCCGACAGGTAATTCCAAGTTAGTGATTGGGTCTTTGTCAAGATTCAACCATACAGACAACCTTTCTTATCCTCTTTTCCCTATCATAAGTTGACTTCTCGCTACTTTGGACCATATCCTACAATTGAGAAAATTGGAGTTGTTGCTTACAAACTGTTACTCCCACCTGAAGTTCTGGTCCACTCCACATTTCATGTCTCACAGCTCAAGTTTTGTTATGAAGTCCCTGCTGAAATTATACATCCTCCTGTAATTGATTTGGCTAGTCAATTATTCCCTTCTCCTGAGTTGATTATGGAAAGACGACCTATCAATAAGGGAAACAAGGTTGTTGCTCAGTGTTTGGTTAAATAGACTGGACTGGATGCCTCCAATGCCACTTGGGAATTAGATTTTGCACTTAAAGCTCGTTTCCTTTCCTTCACCCTTGAGGACAAGGGTGTTGTTCAACCAAGGGGTATTGATACAAGTATTAGCCATTAGCTTTTGAAAATTAGTTGCACACGTTTTGGCGGGAAAAGTAGTTATTATTTGTGTCACACACTTAGCATGTATGTATTTCCTTTTCTTTTTATTTCAGCATGTTAGCTTTATTACAATCTTATTATAGGAGATACATAAAATGTAAAGGCATTAAGATTGGTATATGAATTGAACTCCTCTCTTCTCTATATATTTTGCTTCCTCCACGACCAACTCTTATGTTCTTCTCTCATTTCTGTTACTAGTTCACTGTTCCATTGAAGTGATACCTCAATTTGGTATCAGTTTTTCGACGAGTTTCGGGGCGGCAGAGAGGTGTGGTGCGGCTGCTAGGTTTAGGGAATTAGGGTTAGGGTTTGGAGGATATTAGGTTATATATGGGGTGTGAAAGAGTTGTGGCCATTGGATCTAAGTGGGGTGAATGGCTGAGATTTAGAATTGGAAATGGGGTGGTGGATTGGGTCGGCTGGTGGGTCAGCGGGTTGGGACTGATTGTGCTAATGGATACACGAAATTGGGCCTTCTTTGAATTATAAATCAAGGCCATGTACAACCCAAAATCAATTCTCTTTCTCTTAAGAATAAGAGTACAATTACTGTTAATTCATGCTAATTAAATAAAATAATTCTAATTGCAAAACACTAAGAAACTATATATTAAAGTTTCGAATATTAAAATATAAGTCTATTTTTTTTTTGTATTTTCAAAGATTAAACTTAAAATAAGGCTAAAAGCATAGCAATATAAAATACTAATAGAAATATGTAACAAGATAAGAAATATTATAAAATGAAACTATTTTGTGTTTTCAATTTGTAATTGAAGTAAAAAATAGACTAGAACTCTATAAAACTCAAATAAATATTTAAAAAAATACTAAAAACAACTTTAAATGATTTGCGGGTAAAATATTACGTGCTTACGGCGTGATTCTGAAAAGGAAAAGATATTTGGGATTCTCATGAGTTGGTTCGCTGTGAAGAATGTGGCAGGTGAGTTTCTTTTTTTTTTT